CTGTGCTTGATCTGTGCAGATTTCTCTCCTGATTCAGACCAGAACACTTTTTTACTGGAGGCAGCGTTATTATGGATTATAGACTCGATGTATTTTAGTTAAAAGTGTCTTAATGCTGGATTAGTTTCAGCTTTTGTCTTCTCCAGATGTTAACTGATGGACTGGAGTGCTGTGGATTACTTGTGGATTATTGTGATGTTTTTATCAGCTGTTTGGACTCTCGTTCTGACGGCACCCATTCACTTGCAGTGAGACACTGATGCAATGCTACATTTCTCAGAATCTGATGAAGAAACACACTCATCCGCATCTCGGATGGCCTGCGGGTGAGGAAATTTTCAGCAAATGCTCATTTCTGGGTGAACTGTTCCTTTAAGACCTCCAGAACAGCCTGGTGTTAAAGTGTTGCATGCTTTTCTGTTTCCGGTTGCTCAATATAATGTCATGTGACTCATGAGAAGAGATGCTTTGACTGCTCTCTGGTCTGTTTTCAGAGCGGACAGGAGCTGACGCGAGGAAACCGCCGCCGTTTTTATCCTTGTTGTTGTTATTCTGAAATCAGGCTTTTTATCCGCTGTTGGAGGGAGTTTTATCCTGTGGCCGTTGCCGTTATTTATTGACGCTGATAAGAAGAGCGTTTTGACCGTCCTCGTGTAAGTCACAGGTTCCCCGCAGGATCTCGACACTAGGTTTTCCTGTCGTAGATGAATCCCAGTGCCATGATGTCAGTGTTTTTGCTCTCTTTTAATACTTCAGACGGGTGTCATTCTGCAGAAGACGAGAGAAAGACTAATAAAGGTCAGAAGCGGCGATGTTTCTCCTGTCAGTCCATCATCAAACACGCTTTGATTTCGGATCAGATTCATGCCTTTCCTTTTCTCACAGAGCTTTAAATCACATCAGACTTCAGCTGTGTGTTTTACAGACGCACCACAGTCACAGTCTGAACTATTCGAGGGAAGTTTGCCTAAATATAGTCTGAAAATGCAGCAGATTTAGCCGCCTAGACGCCTCCCAGACCCATGTTTGTTCTCTGTTGTGTTTGTAAGATGCGACACAATCAAGTACATTAAACCCCAGCATTAAAATGTTAAATGGTGTGTTTTTTTATACACAGGGCAGCTACATTATATTCATACAGTAACACTTTCACACACACACTATATCTGATCTGAATCCGGTGCTAATACGACAGACGCTGTCTTTAATGAATGCATTAGCCGTAACACGTTCTAGCTCAGACGCCCCTAGGTTTGTGTTATTAAGCACTTGCATGTGCGTCCTGTGTGGATATTACAGTGAATATGCATTAAACTCCTCTTCAGTACTCACTGGAGCTTGTGTTGTGATTTCGTTGGATTGTTGTGTTCGGCTATAATAAATTAATATATGTCAATATAAATTTAATAGTATTCTTACAGTGTAGAAATAATACTATTTATGAATTTAAATATTAAACTGAATACTATATTTATAAAATATATTAATACTTATTGTTTTATATATATATATATATATATATGTATATGTTTACATAATTACACAATTTTGATTATATAAAAACCAGCAACATTACAGCAGCAGTTTTAAAGATGTTTTCTTTTGGATTGTTTGACTACTCAAAAGAGAATATAGCAAAATGTAACGATTCATTTGTGTTTCCCGCTAGCGAAATTTCACATGCTGGCCAATGAGCGAAGCCTGCTGTGGACGAGGCGTGGCTCATGAATATTAATATGGATATGACCGTTATTTCGCAACGGCTCTGACAGTTACAAGCAAAGTCAGAAGGACTTGATTAATATTCATGAGCGGTGGTGTAGACCCGTAATTCTGCGTCCGGTTCACGCAAACCGTTGCTGAATGACAAACGGCTGTTCATTTCAACGCCTCTGGGTGATTAGTTGAATTATAAATACTATTACACTGTTTCTAATCACTAAGGGCGCGCGTGACGCGTCGATGGGCGTGTCCGGTGAACCAAACGTCACGCCTCCAACCGACAACGTTCAGCGTCAGACTCAGTACCGAGAAGCTGAACGTTACCGACGGAGTCCGCCGCGAAGAACCGTCTTCAGCAGCGCACTCGGCGGCGGAGAAGCCAGACGGATCCAGATGTGTGACTGTTAATGCGCCGATCTCAGGGAATCACGCGCCATGGCTCGGGTCGGTAACGGAGCGGACGGCGCGGAACCGGAGGAGGTGAGTGTCTGTCTGATATCTGACCGCAAACACCGGCCGTGTCTCCGAACCGGTCGATGCTGACGATTAAACGACGCTTGTGTGGCGGATGCGCTATTTAGGGCACTCGTTAGGCGTTGAGACGCTGACACACTACATAGGGCTCTTCCTCTCAGACGCGGAAGTCGCTGGACGTTTGTCTAGATTTCTTCATAAACTCGTCAGTCAGAGATTTAATTACATATTGACAGATGTGCGTGTGTGTGTGTGTGTGTGTGTGTGTGTTCAGGTAAACGTAATTTGCATATTTATGCAACGGCGGTGACGTCATAAAAGTTAAGCACGACGCGCATTCACTTGTTAAAAAAAGTGCTGCGTCGGTCCCGTGATACAGCAAGAGTATTGATTTTTTTATTGCAATAATAACAAACAAAGATTACAGTACGTACAAAACATACCAAAAACCTTTCGATAATAAATTAATTATGGTTTAATAGTTAACAGAAGAAATAATATAATATAAAAAATTCTTAAGGAATAGACAGAACGAGTAAAAAAAAAAACAGTACCATGGTACAGTGAGAGAATTATTTTTTTATTGCAATAAAAATATATATTTTTAATGAATTATTAGCTTTTTATCAACAAGACCACTGCAGTTCTTGAATTAAGCCCAGTTTGGAAAACCCTGGTGTAATGAATTTATTAATGTTGATATAAAATTAAATTAAATATATTTTCTTTCTCTTTGCTTTTTTATTAAATTAAATTAAATTTATGCATTTAGCAGACGCTTTTATCCAAAGCGACTTACAGTGCATTCAGGCTATACATGTTTTTTATCAATATGTGTGTGTTTATATCAGAACGAACTGTTTAATTGTAAGTTCAAAAATGTGTGTGTGTGTGTGTGTGTGTGTGTGCAGCAGATCCAATTACTCTCACTGACTTTGTGTTTTTTCCACTGCAGATTGCCTGTTGTTGATCGGTGTGTGTGTGTGTGTGTTTGAGCCGGTGATCTGTAGCCTAACGCGTGTAATCCACTTATGCTATAACAACATTACATTCCTCACACACTCGTGTTAATTTGTCTGTTGAGCTGTTAAATGTGACTAAGAGCATTTCTGCGTTTCATAAAACAGACGAACAGACCATAAACTCAGTCCTCGTGACGGCAGTCAGCTGTTTTTTAGACGCTTATGATATTCTAGTAGATGTTTTCAGGGTCTGATTGGTTTTTATGTGTGTAACACTCTTATATTTGTCCCATCTGTGACGTCACAATTCGATTCTGATTCACATGCTCTTGATTTGATTCGATATTAATTTGTTTTAATATATATCAGGTAACACTAAAGCTGTCAACTATACAGGAACCCTCTCACTTGGTAAATTACTATAATATTAAAAGTTAGAATCAACAACAGAGTCCAAACTATTAAATTCAATTGCTATTTATTTTTAGATAAAACAATCAACACTCAAAAACTGAGTTGTATGCATATTTTTAAGGCAGTTTTTATACATTTGATTACATTTTGTTCCTTTTGTGCAGTGGCTCAGGAGATGAGTCTTTGAGTTTGTATAAACATCAACAAGCTGAAAAATAAAACCAACTTTCTTTTTTTTTAGATAATGTAATCTTGTTAAAATTGATTTCATAAAATTGGTATCGAAAAAAGTATCGTTTAGGAACCGGTATCGAAGTCAAGGTATCGATATCGAACCACTGCTTCCTGATGACTTTTATTTTGTAATTATGTTGACGTGCTTTTGTTCCTCTTCTGTAAGCTGCATTGGATCAAAGTGTCTGCTAAATGTAAATGTCAAATTAATTCAGTTTCAGTTGAATTGTTATTCATTTCAGTTCATGTGGTCACGT